AGGAAGAACGATAATAATGATTAAAAGAATAACTAAATCAGGTTCTGTATGATTAAGAAGCATACTGAGCTGACTTTAAAGAAGGAAAGGAAGAAAATGAGGGAATGGAGATAAATGAGATGCGAAATGCGTAAACAGTTTAATAAGCGTGTTTGTGAACACAGAAAAAGAATAAACGGCTATGCGTGTATCGTCAGATGAGTAACATAAATAAGAAAATAACTTATTATTGCAGTAAGATATGACGTTACAATAAGTGTTCGTGCAGTCATAGATTGGAGTGATATTATTTAAGTCTTAATTAAGGGCAAAGGATAATTAAATGTCAATATATATGTGTCATATATACACAGTGAAGATTAAACGAGTCAGAGAAGTTTGTTTAAGTGTAACACAATATATTGCCTTAATTACAGATTTCGGAATCTTAGGAATAGTTTTTTTAGAAGGAAAAAGGGGGAAAAGAAATGAAGACCTGATATAAGCGTTCAACCAAGATAATAAGAGTGTAATGAATATCGACCTCTGAAGTAAACCATCAACTCGAAACAAAACCATTAGTGTAGTCGGATGAATACGTGTAGATTTATGTAATAGTATACAGAGTGAAAAACTCCACCTGTAGCTCTTCTAGAGCTACTGTCGGTCCCAAGTCTGAGTAAGGGAGAAGGTTTAGCCATTGGGCTAGTGACCGTATCCCGTAGAAAACTAACTCGCTAAAAAAACGCTTACCAGAAAAAATAATCCAAACCATTTTACCTCTGTCCTGGGAGTTAGAAGGTCTTCATTTAGAAGACCTATGACGCCTCATGGTGAAAGCCGAGTTCCTTCGGAAGCCACGAGGCCGATGCCCCTTCTAACAACCAGGGCAAAAAATTTTATAGGTACATGGAACGTTCGAACAATGTGGGAAACCGGGAAGACCAGTCAAATATCAATGGAAATGAGGAGATACAATTTGGCAGTACTGGGGATCAGCGAAACTCACTGGACCCAAGCTGTACAGAAAAGGCTAGCTACGGGAGAGATGCTGCTATACTCCGGTCACGAAGAGGACAATGCTCCACACGCTCAGGGAGTCGCTCTTATGCTGTCCAAAGTAGCACGAAATGCACATGTAGGATTGGAATCTCACGGATCCAGAATTATCAAAGCATCATTCAAAACAAATAAGGAGGGGATCACAATAAATATTATACAATGTTATGCACCCACCAATGATAGCAACGACAACATTAAAGACCAATTCTACGAGCGGCTGCAGTCAATCATTGAGAATTGCCCAAGAAAGGACCTAACTATTCTGATGGGAGATCTAAATGCCAAAGTCGGAATAGACAACACTGGATATGAAGATATCATGAGACGACATGGACTGAAAGATAGAAACGGAAATAGGGAAAGATCTGCAAATCTGTGTGCATTCAACAAATTGGTCATAGGAGGAACAATTTTTCCACACAAACGCATAAATATAGCTGCATGGATCTCACCGGACTACACTACAGAGAACCAGATAGATCATATTTGCATCAACAAAAAATTCCGAGGGACAATGGAAGATGTGAGAACCAGGAGAGGTGCTGATATAGCTTCAGATCACCACCTAGTTGTAGCCAATTTAAAACTGAAGCTAAAGAAGGACTGGATAACTGGACAAACAGTACTACAAAGGTTCAATACAGCCTTCCTTCGAGATACTGACAAACTCAATGAATTCAAGATAGCTCTGAACAACAGGTTTCAAGCCTTACAGGATCTACTGAAAGAAGAAGAAACTACTATGAAGGACAACTGGAAAGGCATCAAGGAAGCGTTAACTTCAACGTGTCAAGAGGTTCTGAGCCTAAAGAAGCATCATCATAAGGAATGGATCTCTATTGAAACACTGGACAAGATCAAAGAAAGGAAGAACAGGAAGACAGCAATTAACAACAGCCGAACACAAGCAGATAAAGTCCAAGCACAAGCTGAATACATAGAAGCAAACAAGCAAGTGAAATAGAGCTTTAGAGCTAACAGGAAGAAATACGTTGAAGAACTAGCAACGACGGCAGAAGAAGCTGCTAGAGAAGGAAATATGAAACAACTTCACGATACAACGAAGAAACTAGCAGGGAATTACAGTAAACCAGAGAGGCCGGTCAAAGACAAAGAAGGCAAGCCAATCACCGAAATTCAACAACAGCGTAACAGATGGGTAGAATACTTCGAGGAACTCGTGAATAGGCCGGCTCCAATGAATCCACCGGACATCGAAGCCGCACACATAGATCTTCCTGTAGATGTCAACCCACCAACGACGGAAGAAACCAGAGTGGCCATCAGACAAGTCAAGAGGGGAAAAGTAGCAGGACCCAACAACATACCAGCTGAAGCACTGAGGTCAGACATCGAAGTAACTAAAACCACACCTCACCTTTTATTCAAAAAGATTTGGGAGGAGGAACAAGTGCCGACGGGCTGGAAAGAAGGACACCTCGTCAAGATTCCCAAGAAAGGAGATCTGAGCAAATGTGAAAACTACAGAGGCATTACACTACTGTCAATACCAGGGAAAGTCTTCAACAGAGTGTTGCTGAACCGGATGAAGGATGCAGTAGGCGCACAACTTAGAGATCAACAAGCTGGGTTCCATAATGATCGTTCGTGCACAGACCAAATTGCAACACTACGGATCATCGTCGAACAATCAGTTGAGTGGAACTCATCATTATACATCAACTTCATTGATTATGAAAAGGCATTCGACAGTGTAGATAGGAGGACGTTATGGAAACTTCTTCGACACTACAGAGTTCCTGAGAAGATTGTCAATATTATCCGGAACTCATACGACGGACTACAGTGCAAAGTAGTGCACGGAGGACTGCTGACAGATGCATTCCAAGTAAGGACCGGAGTCAGACAAGGCTGTTTACTCTCTCCCTTCCTCTTTCTTCTGGTGGTCGACTGGATTATGAAGACCTCGACATTTGAGGGAAAACACAGCATACAATGGACAGCTCAGAACTAATTAGACGATTTGGACTTCGCAGATGACCTAGCTCTTATATCACGTACACACGAACAGATGCAGATGAAGACAGCCAGTGTAGCAGCAGTCTCTGCATCAGTAGGCCTCAGTATACACAAAGGGAAAACGAAGGTGCTCAAATTCAAAGCGGAAAACAGCAATCCAATCACTCTTGATGGCGAAACTCTGGAAGATGTAGACTCCTTCACATACCTGGGAAGCATCATTGATGAACAAGGAGGATCCGATGCAGACGTAAAGGCGAGGATCGGCAAAGCAAGGGTCGCATTCCTACAATTGAAGAACATATGGAACTCAAAACAACTTTCAACCAATATCAAAGTGAGAATCTTCAATACGAACGTCAAGGCAGTTCTACTGTATGGAGCTGAAACTTGGAGAACTACAACAACCACAATCAAGAAAGGACAAGTATTTATAAATAGCTGTCTACACAAGATACTCAACATCCATTGGCCGGATACCATCAGCAATAGCCTTCTGTGGGAGAGAACAAACCAACTTCCAGCTGAAGAAGAAATTAGGAAAAGACAATGGAAATGGATAGGACACACATTAAGCAAATCGTCAAACTGCATCACGCGGCAAGCCCTAACTTGGAATCCTGAAGGGAAGCGAAAAAGAGGAAGGCCAAAGAACACATTGCGTCGGATAATAGAAGTAGATATTAAAACGATGAATTACAACTGGACGGAGCTGGAAAGGATTGCCCAGGACAGGTTTGGATGGAGAATGCTGGTGAGCGGCCTATGCCCCTTCACGAGGAGTAACAGGCGTAAGTAAGTAAGTAATGCATTTCTTTCGCCAAACTGCCCTCCGACTACATATCTCCCATTTATAATAAATCAAACGAATGTGAATATGAGGCCGGTGTGCTTACTTCTTCCTCTTCTCCTGATGACTTAACCAACAACCCAACAGGTACACATAACGCCCTGCTATCAGACACTTGCTCGCTACACTGACAAAAATGTTAGTTAGTGCTCTATCTTTACCAAATGAAATGGTCCACATAAGAACCCTGGTATTTTTAAACAATTTTCTACCTGTTTTAATGGCGGAAAGTCGGTTATCCCCCGATTTAACAAACTCATAACTTTAAACAAATACCCACGAGCACTTCCGCTGCGACTAATTTATTGGAAACTTAACGTAATTAGCTTGTTAACGCACATAAATCTTGAAACTTACATCATCCCTCGAAAAGCACATAAGAAACAGTGTAGATCACGATGTAAGACCTTTTTTGTACGACTGTGTGACGTATTATGGCTAGACTGGTATATGTGAATGGCTTTCTCACGATGGGAATAAATCCCATGCCGCAATTATTAATATCAAATGCATCAGAAAAAATAATATAAGTAAATTTGACCACGATTTTAGTAATATGCGCGCCTCAGGTAACGTCATATCGATGGTCGAACCCGGTATAATAATACCGTAACTCAAAGCATTTGCCGCTGGACGTAAGATATTACTCTGAACAAAACCACCGTTTGTTAGGTGCGGTGTAGATGTTGTAGAGTTAATTTTGACCATTCAGTATCTGCTTGTGAGATAGGAGATTAGTAAATTCAATTGACCGAAGTCTGTTAATTATGAGGTTATGAGGTACTTTGTCAAAAGCTTTCTTGATGTCTAAGCAAAGTACAACTACGAGTTACTTTTGATAACGTATGCGAGTAACCACTCTAAAGAAGTCTAACATGCATATAACCCAGGACCTTGTTATAACGCAGCCGTTTTGTGACAGGTCGATTAGACTTTTCTCGAATAAGTAATCCGATGACTGATATTGTATCACTTCCGTTATGCGTTACATAACGAGTGGTATTTATAAGTCTGTAGTTCTGGTCCACTTTACACACCAGATCCAATTTCAGCATAGTTGTGTTAGAATTCTGGTCGTGCTAAGTACTTATGCAATACAACTTTTAAAGTTTATAGTTGTTATAAAATAGATTTGTAGAGCGCTCGGTGTGAACTATGACCTTAAGAATGTGTTCGTGCTGCACACGAATTGGCTTAGGCATCGTTCTCTGTCAAAGCCTCATCACTCGAGAATCTTCACTTAGAACGTCATTCTAAACAGCGTCTTACCTTAGTTTTAGTTCATATCAGCTTCTCATATTTTTATACGGTCAGTGAGAGGCAAGTCTTTTCTTTCAAAAACCTATGACCCCTCTATTTTATATCCATTATGTAGTATCAAGTCCCTTACATTGAGAGAGTGAGGTACTAATTTTAAAAGCCAGGTTTGACTCTGTCTTCAAGTACATTTAAGTACTTAGTCACCATACCTTTAGCAAGATGACTCCAGAAATTTCCTGATCTGGTTTGGTAGATACTTTATCAGCTCGATTTCATGCTCAAAGAGAGTTCTGAGCCCTCATTTAGCTTGAATCGATAAAAATTGACCTGTCACAATTTAAATAGCATCGAGTTTATGAGCTACTGTTTGTAGGACTAGCTATTCTTTGGCAACATTGTATCATTTAAGGCTATTGATTTATTCCTTTTCATCAGCTCTCATTGGAGTAACGATCACAGTTGCGCTACATGTCGTAAGATCCTGGAGGATTGTCGAGGACCTGGGTGGTTAAATGGTTGTTTTTCCAGCTGTAAACAGACCCAGGGCGAGAGACGGAAGAAACCCTCTCTTGAGCTTATATTTCTAACAGACTTCGATGTCGATCCATCCTCCTCTGGTCCATGTAGGTCACCCGTCTCGGAGCTTATTTGAGGTAACTTCACGTAAACTTGTGTAATGATTAAGCGGGTACCATTTAATGTGTCTCGATTACACTTGCTTTACTAAGCCGTTTGAAAGTCGCGGGCGTTAGATTCGTGAAAACGTCGTAGTACCATCTATTGCACTAATCGCACCTTGACTTCTCAATAGCTTTCGATAAGGCCAACCATATATATCTTGTCAATAAGCTCAAACGATTAGATATCAAATCACGTTTGTTTGATTGACTCACTTCATATCTAGAAATTGACATTTTAATGTCAGGGTTAACTTCACTTTCAGACTATGCTGTGTCCTACTGGGGTCCTCCAAGATTCAGTACTAGGACCTCTTCTTTCCTTGATTTATGTAAACGATCTTCCACAGTAGGTATCGTTAGATTGATTACTTTTCACTGATAGCGTAAAACTGAAGAGCACACACAATAAACTGTCGTATCAAAAGGATCTGACTCGACTTCAAAGTTGGGCAGACAACAGCAGACTTACCTTTAACATTTCAAAGCACAAAGTAATACATCTGAGACGTTTTACAGACTACGAATACAACTTAGGTAACTCCCCTCTAGAGGTATTTCAAGTTGGAAAAAAACCCTTGAGTGTTGGTATCCCATGATCTGCGACGTAAATGCCTTCCGAGCAAACCTTACGCTGGTATCACTAAAGCGCATTTTTAGGCAGTTCGAGGGAAGAAATTTTCAATTAACCTTAAACAGTTTTATTCGATCTCATGGCATGGGAGTGTAATATTTTCTCCCTCAGTCAAAAAGTATAAGAACACACGAACGTATCCAACGGCGATCCACGAAATCAGGTCGGGGACTCAAATTCAAGCCTTATGAAGAGCACCTCCAGTCACCGATTCTTTACCCATTCGAGTTCAGGCGTATAAAAGGTGACGTTCTAATGACCTACAGCATCCTAAGTACTTTTGGACATCCCTTTATATACCTAAAGTTTTTTGCCTCCAAACGCCCTGGTATGGCCGAGAGCGGGGTGGGTTCGCCCTCCCTCTCGAAATACTCTCACACGGCCGCGCGTATACAGCCTCTGCCAGGGAAGTCCTACTCACTGCCTTCTCGTGGCAGGGGTGTTGTTTACGAAAATGAGAGGACGAAAAGCGAATGTCCGGCGCTTTAACCGGATTCCAGACCAATGGTGCACATGGGCACCAGTATCCTGCGGGAACAAATGGCGTATGAACCAATTTTCGGTCACCGGCTACCATGGGACTGCATCTCCTTACGATGCTCCACTGCCTTGTGGGTTAGACCTTTAGGTCAAAGGCTCGGGGTGTGGCCCCCTAAGATAACCACCTGCTTCGGTCTGGGCACCCGGGTAGTAACGCAGCCCACACGCAATTAATGAACTGAAATTGTGTGGCGCATATATGTTTGGCGCACTCTTGTACAAATATATACGTGTTCAAATAAATAAATAATAAATAATACCTAAAGTTTAGTTCCAACACCAACTTAGGGGGTAACACCCAGGAACTGGAGACAACAAAACAGAGTGGACTGTAGATACACCTACTCCCCAAGAGTAATCAAATGCTGGATTTCGCTGACGGCTCAGCTAGTCCAAGCGACTTCCCAGGAGTCCTTCAAGAGGAAACCTGATATGTTGTCAAAGACTAAGGTTAGTATCTTACTATGATTTACCAATTTCTTTTTCCTCATGGTAATATACCTAGGTTCCTGTCTGGAGGTGTCGGTGATCCACCGCTACTAGATACGGAAGCCCGTTAAGCGAAAGCTTCTATTCCATTCCAAACCATTCGAAACACCTCATACCACTGTCCCCAGGGTACCAATAAACTGGGCGTTGGCAACTACTTTTTTACACTGTCCGGTCATTAATCATAGGTTTTCACAAGAAACTAAACATAAAAATACCCAGAGACAAAAATATGATGATCACAAAAGAAGCATAAGATCCAAAAGTGTAAACAAATTCATGAAAACCAATGTACTCGAAAAGTACATTTTCGAGTTATTTTCATGTTATTTTCGAGAAAATCGAAACTTTTAGCGATTATGTTGACTGGAATATACGTAGCGAGGATGAAAACAGTAGTCTTGATGCGGAATAAACGATTACAACAATAAAATTAACTGAGCGAGGCAAAATACCACTGTCCTTTTAATATGGCGCGCATTAATGATCTTTATACTAGTTTTAGAGGAACTTTATTATATATATTTTGAAATAGAGGTTGAATGCCACTTGAACTTCTGTTGATCTTCCGAAAAGTTCTGACTTGACGTTTGTGCAATGTATCAACGTCTTTTTGTAGAATACCTTGATTCTGATGGTGAGGTTGAATAGTGTGATTTCTTCGGTTTTGATTTTAGAATCCAATCTCTATAATGTCTAAGGGAATAACATTGTGTGGCCAACAAATTGCCCAAGGTATAACTACACTAATTTGGTGCTCATCATTTCAGTTATTGGTCAAATAATTAGATCGGATGTGGCTTATTTAAAATCAAACTTCAACATTTCTCCCAAATTGGTCGTTATTGAAGTAAGTTTCCTGGGTCTTTTATCGTTTTAGTCTCCTCAATGCGTTGTAATTTAATAGATGCTTGTAGCTTATTGACTACTTTTTTAACTGGACGCATCGCAACTGTTAATGTCACATGCTTGGATTCATGCTACCGCCATCTACAAAACATCTATAACTTACTGGGTTATTACTGTTCCTGTTAAAACCCTACAACTTAGTCGCATTAAAGTTTGTGATTTATATGATTAGCCTCAGGATTCGTTTGTGGCTGTCACATTTAAAATATATAGTTTTATACATGCGGTTCTCTTACCTTGAGTAACGTTTTCTTTGCCTAATAACTATAATAGTCCGTTTCATGGAATTACTTAGATAAACGTAACTATGATGTTTTTTAAGTCTTTCTATACTTTGTCGACACTTCAAAGTTTAACCCTACGGTCGATGTATCTGCATTACGACTGAATCTAGTTAACTGATGACCGGTCATTAGTGTGAAAGGAAATAAACTGTAAAAGTGATTGCTAACGTACTGGGTAATTCACCAGACTATAAGCCACATCTGTTGTTTGGTGACCTACTATACTATACACTTGTGCTTACGATCAATTCAGCTTTTGTAAGCACTTAAGCGTTAATTGAAGTATTGATTACGTTAAGAAAATTTAATTTTTTCAACCTGAATTTCAATGTACTTGAATGTTAAGGTTAACATGATTTTCGAGGTTTCAAGAATGAAATCAACTGATCGATATCTAAGTTTGTGCCCAAGTATGTGGTAACTTTTCGAGCGCCACACTGCACCGTACTTATGTTAGTTACACCAAAGATTTATCCACAGCTGATAACAAGTGCGTCTCTGGAGAATCTTATAGCTCCTTTTTAAATTATTTGATGTTGCAACCACTTTTATCATCTGCAAAGTTAGTGTTATTATTAGAGTTTAATCAATTGCACTGTTTTCGAGGTAAGAATGTCAGTGCCCAACCACTAGAGATAATCCTAATAGTTGTTAAATCATACCCCATTGTATTTATCATATATTGTATCCTTACAATTCATAATTATAGTTTTTTATTGCTCAATCAAATAAGATAGTTCAAAAGTGTCACTTTCAAGGTAACCAGTTTACAGTACTTCACTTTCCATCACACAGGTTCATGTTTTTAAGCAATAGCTGACGCTTACTCATAAAGTTAGTTGAGATGCGCGTACATCGTAAACCCTGAATGTGTTGATTGGCAGTTATAAATATCAGATACGGAACTCAAGAAGACTTCCTTTCATGTCAAAACAATTGCATAAAAAAGCCTTGTTGGGTGCGTCGAATACTTGATAAGTGATCAGTTATGAATGTATTTAATTGTGTCACAACGCTGTTAGTTTACTCGAAGCCTGTATTTCCATGGTGTTCTGACTCTCCAGTGGTTTGTCACTAGTAGCCCCAAAATGCCCTGGTACGGCTCAGGGTGGGGAGAGTCAGCTCTCCGTTTCGAAATGCTCTCACATGGCCACACGTATACAGCCACTGCCAGGGAAGTCCTACTCTCTGCCTTCTCGTGGCAAGGGTGTTCTTTGCGAAATTGAGAGGACGAAAAGTGAATGTCCAGCGCTTTAACTGGGTTGGTGGATATGGAGAATCCACCTAATGGAGTTGGGAAACCCTGATTCCAAACCAATGGTGCATATGGGCTCGAGGATCCTGAGGTAAAAATGGCGTGTGAACCAATTGTTGGTCACCGGCTACCACGCAACTGCATCTCCTGATGTTGCTCCATTGTCTTGTGGATCAGACCTTTAGGTCGAAGGCTCCGAGTGAGGCCCCCTAAGAAAATCACCTGCTTCGGTCTGCGCACCCGGGCAGTACCACAGCCCACACACAAATCAAGTGACTTGTTTGGCGTATATGTATTTGGCGCCCCTTTGTAGCAATATTTATGTGTTCAAAGAGATAATAATTAAATAAATCTAGTTCTAAAGTTCATGTATACAGAAAAACACTAACTTCGTTTACAACCAGAGGAAAGACGGTTAAGACTAGCATTATCTTCACTAAGAAGTTACAATTTAGCTGAACTGTTTTCTTCCCAATGACTAATATTATGAATTTAATTTTCTACTTAAAATTAAGATGGAATTAATAATTTAAGTTTGAAGATAAAAAATTCTTTATCTTACTTCTAAACATGAACTGATTGATTTGATGATATCTTTATATAATACATTTAAATCGGCCAAAATTCCACGAACCAAAGGTAGTTCAGACTTTTGTTTTTGACAACCACAAGCAATGTGTATTAAAGAAGGAAGGATATGTGGATCTAGAAAGTATGAACAGTGAGTGAATATTGGAAGAAAAAAATTATTTTTTCCTAAATTTAGCTTTACTTTCCCGAGCTTTGGCATCACATCAAAATTTCAGCCTAGACAATAATATTTCTCTGTAAGCATACGGTGGAGCAGTTTTGAAACTACAAAAAATTACGCTGTGTATAAAAGGTAGGAAAAAGTACACTCGATATAGCAGTTTATTTACCTGATAAGTAACAACACATGGCATCCATGCACGGTAAGCTAGCTATAACGACATCTATTATCGGGATGATTGCTCGTAAACTATTGTAGTACGTGACAAAGTGGATGAGGTGAGGTGCATCTTCACAAACTTTACGCAAGTAAACACCAAAAGTAGGTAACACTTCGGAAAATGAATTGACTAAAAAGAAAATTGACAGACCAAAAACAATTTGGACAAGACAACTAATAAAGAAGAAAAAGGCAAATAAATAAAAATTCAACATTGGTAACCTAGATTGTTTGTGATTGAAAGATATGTTTTGAAAGTCATAGAAATGCGGAGAATCCATTTTTATTTGGATATAAGGGATGGGCCCCCAAGTGCCCTGGTATGGCCGAGAGTGGGGTGGGCCCACCCTCCCTCTCGAAATGCTGTCACACGGCCACGCGTATACAGCCATTGCCAGGGAAGTCCTACTCTCTGCCTTCTCGTGGCGGGGGTGTTGTTTACGAAAATGAGAGGACGAAAAGCGAATGTCCGGCGCTTTAACCGGATTTCGAAACAATGGTGCACATGGGCTCCAGGATCCTGAGGGATTAAATGGTGTATGAACCAATTGTTGGCCACCGGTTACCATGGGACTGCATCTCCTTACGATGCTCCACTCCCTTGTGGATCAGACATTCAGGTCGAAGGCTCGGGGAGTGGCCCCCTAAGAAAACCACCTGCTTCGGTTTGGGCACCCGGGCATTATCACAGCCCTCACACATATCGAATGAGATTTGTGTGGCACATATCTATTTGGTGCCCCTTTGTACCAATATTTATGTGTTCAAATAAATAAATAATAAATTTTTCACCAGTGCTGAACGTCATTCGCAAGGTTTAACCAGTGTAAAAGTCGTCCATGTTATCGGTAATGTATTGTTTTCACAACTTGGATATCCTGTTGTGCGTTAGTTTTTCCCAAAACAGTTGCTCGTCGGTTTTAAAGATGAATTAGTCTCTGATTTTTGGCTTGGTAAGCAAAAACAATCCTCGTGTTCTTTCTAGGGAGAAAATACTGTTTCACTTTCTTTACTTCTCTCACCGTGTTTCGTTCCTGTAATTTGTCTTTTTATTCCATATGATTTTTCTATATGCAGGTTGGTAATCTACCTCAGTCAAAGTTGTACATAACGCAAAAATCCAAATTTGCAGAAAAGTATGGCATACTTTTGTCTCACATGCGATTTCCATCACATATACCTGAGTCAGTGGTAAGATGGATTAACAAAGAAGTTGATGATAATAAAGCTTTTAGATTACGTTTATAAGTTGAATTCTGATTCATCAGTGCACGGTATCACTTTACAAGTAAGTTGTTTAACTGTGATTCCAATTGTTACTTAAACCAGCAGTAAAATAGTTGGGCCCATTGACCACTTAGCTTATATTTGAAGTCTCATCAGCCATATTGGGTTAGTGTTTAACAAAATGTCGGTCCAAATTCAGAAGGCTTGCTTGGTTTTTGTCACCTTGTTTTACCTATGGTGTGGACTAAATAACCATCACGTAACTAACAAATGAGTATACTACTTAACATTTTTCTCTTAACTTCTGTTTGTGATGCGTGGCCCATCAGGTAAGAGTATAAGATGCTTGTTGACTATTGTTACTGAATCAGAGATGTATCCGAATCATTTTTCTTATATGTTGAAACCACTGAGTAAACATTGCTGAGGTTAGGCTCAGGGTATCAAGATGGCGAACTTGTTGATATGATTGTAAGTCTTTATTGAGTGAGTTGTTTGGGATGTGCTTTTCGTATCCTCGACTACTACTTACCTCAATGCTCTATGTTGGCTGACATGAAAGTAGAAGGGTATGAGTGACCAAACCAAAACGTGGCATCAGTGTGCTAAGTCATTGACTATTGGTCTCAGCCATATTACGTGGTTGGGATCCGCACAACCATCGTAACTATGAATTGGAGACTGGGTGACGTGGCTCAGAAGTGATCTCAACATCACAGATTCATTTATTTTTTGTCCTCCCTTACACAATTAGCTTCAGAATTATTTTACCCATTTTATTCCGTCAATTAATTCTTTCTCTGATCATATTGTCCATAATTTATATTTTTCACTAGCACCGGTACTTCTACTAATTTCTTATTCACCTGTATACTTATATCTCTTTATGCTGATATTGTGTGAATGTAGATAGGGTCAGTCAGCTACAACATAGGACCAGGCGCACATATGCATCGGTGGATAAATGCAGATACTTGCCAAATTACAAATTTTCTGTCTGACCGATTGACCATATACGACTTTTGTGACATTTCCGATTTACTGGCAGATATTTTAGCCTGGGCCTCGTTTGGCTTGGTGACTTGCGCACTAGTATTTGAGGTTTCTATGTACTGACATGTTAGCTTTAATTTAGCCTTCCTTTTCAATACAGCTTCTCCACTAGACTCAAAACATTTTCCAATAAAAAAATCAACTTCGTAGATTGTTAATCTCATTGTAAGTTGCCTATATTTGACAGACTTGTCGAAACACAGTGCCATGATAAAGTACTTCTTCAGTCTTGCTTGTTTTGCCATAGTCCGAAGCAGTGTATAGCGTTGAAAGATGTTTGGAAGGGAGATAACGTTTAATACAAACTAGTTAATAAGCCATATTACAAAACATTTTGGATTTTAAAACTATGTTTGAAAACAACCGTTCAGTGGTTAACTGTACGAGCAGGGTACTGAAATTATTGCTCGAGCACCCAAAATTTCTGCAACCCTATATACCGACTTATTATTCAAGAGAAAAATTTACGTTTTCTCACCAAATTTAGTTAACATAAGTCTGAATAACCAGGGACTAACTGTATGTTTAGATGAATTATATCTGTCCCCAAATGTGTTAGTTAATTACCTATTTGTGACTGCTGTTTAAGTTAAGGTATTCTACTGGGCATAAATGTATACTTTCACCATTGTTATTCGGTTTCGTTCTACAAAAAAAACTAATGAGTTCGACGATATTTAGCCGTACATTTAAAAAAATATATTGCTCACATGAAATTACTGTAATCTACCCAAAGTGTACGAAATTCAAAAACTGTTACATATAGTATATTGTCATCAACGTCTTGAGTGAGTCTAAGAATAAAGAATAAAATGACGATAAATAATTTGTCTTAAAATTAGAATATAAAGTACATGAGTACTTAAAAAGTTGAACCAACCTTAGTGAGGCAGTGACTGATGAATTTTCAACGTGAATAAGAAAAGCATATTTAACTTAGTCTATCTAATAGATGTCATAGATCGTCGATGTACCACATGCACTTCAAGATAATTGTATGTTCCGTGACTACTAAGTAAGTAATGTTAAAGTTTTATGTATAAATGTTTCGTAAGTTAATGGATATTTTGAAGTTGTAGAGATCATATGTTAAAATTCCCAAATCATTGTCTAACCCGATATGTCCTGTTGGCTTAAGGAGATTTAGATTGGTAGTTGCCGAAAATAATGATACAAAAGCACTAGGTTGTTGTGTAGGTAGGTATCTTATAGATGGGACTCCTGTTTAATGATATTTATCTTAGCGTTTTATTATACCTATCCTTATTCTGTAATAATAGAATTCGGGGTCCCTTAAGTGACCTGAGTCAGTGGCATAGGTGTATTCATTCCTTATTCTTATTTAAATCCTGATCATTTTCACATTATTTGCTTTTCGTTTTTAACTCTTGTTTCTACTTTTCAGTATATTTCCATGCCTGCGTATATTCTTTGTTTACTCTGTTTCGAATTATGCACCTACATATTTTTATGTGAACACTGATGTACGTTAAGCATCAGACGTGTTTCATCCTGTGTTCTATTGACTGGTGGGATTTTCCCTTTCCAAAAAGGGATAGAGCTTTTAACAATGTCTACATTTACTTCTGACAAGCTTTGCTAGAAAAATTTCCTAAGCATAAACATAGTATCTTAGTATAAAAGTTATTCATTTTTGGTTAGTCACAATTCACCAAACCGGTCATCACATAACCATTAGGAAATAATTTGTTTAGTTGTGATCTATTAAAGTATTTTTATTGTAAGGGCGTTTAAATTCTAATCAAAACCAATTCTAGTGCACTAAATCGATCATTAAAATTGTGTTCACATTTCATTTCTATGTTTCTTTCCTTTTTTGAAGTTACCGTTTGATTCCGATTCAAATATTAATGTTACTAATTCACTGAATGCTGTTGCTACTCTCAAGGATGTTGAAGGGTACGTTATCTATTTATCCACCAATTCTCTTTGTATACCGTTAAGTTTTTTCCGCTAGTTTCTTTTTATCAGTAATCGGGAATAGTGCTAAACGTCAGTTGGGTTTAGATTTGTTGAAGAAGTCAATGTCCATTCACTTTTAATTACATTCGAAATAACTCTTCTGAACATTTTGCAAAATAACTTTGTATAATTAAACAGGTTATCATTATTTGTTTGACACTGAGATGATATATTATCTTTGTAATTGAAACTACCCCTCATTGCTTACTACGTGCTATGGTTTGTAGTTTCCTATTGTTGATATTAAGGGATGAATTCGCTCATTGTTGTAGCATGAACTTTCTAAAATGGGTATCTTTATTTAGAAGTTGATGATATTTTAGAAACTATCAAGCAACAGAATCCTGGACTCACATTTAACCCTGCTAGGCATCATTAGTTGGATGTAATTCCATTCGGCGTAAGACCTCATTTGCTGTCAAAGAATAATGAAATTCCATTTGGAATATTAACAACAATGAAATAAAAACCATGAGTCAGTTGAAGCTAGACCATCATTGAAAACCTGGAAGCACTGGACGGCCGTTTCGTCCTAGTATGGGACTCCTCAGCAGTGCGCATCCACGAACCCGCCCCCTGCGGGACTCGAACCCAGGACTACTGGCTTCGCGCGCGAGCACTTAGCTATTAGACCACTGAGTCGGCATCCAACTGTGGTCTAGCTTCAGCTGACTCATGATTTCAACCTGTAAAATTTACTAAAATCTCCACAAAACTCATTCTCGAAATAAAAACCTTTGACATTGATAACAATGCCGTGCTTACTCAACTTTATATGTGGTCAAATGAGTGCGTTGATAAGTCCTCATTTGGAATGAAATTATAATCTCTGTCCCAGTTTTCATAAACTTAACGATCAGGGAATATAAACTAAAACGAAAGTAGTGTTTAGAAGTATGTTGGTACAATTAGTCAAATGGAAAATACGTAAGTACAACCTTGTGATAATCAATAAGTAGGTATAGAATGATACATTATTAATTACGTGGTTCGATTACCACGTTATTATTCAAAACTAAGTCAGCATCTAGATATGAAGCATGATAATCATAATATTCGTTTATGTCCCTACAACAGATTTTAAGCCTTTCCATCCAGAGTCTGCAATTATTCAGTGTTTTGAGAACCTCAGCCTGACAACATGCAGACAAAAACTGCTAATATTTTTGTGGCTCTCCAGTGACCTTTTTTGGGTGAGAATGTTGTCAAATCGATCGGGTATCTACGTATTTCTTTGCCAAGTCATGTCTTTTTGCGGTATATTTTGAATGAATAACGTGACATTTAAACAAGACTGGTCCATTGTTGGGTAGACCATATGTTTCTGAAATATGTACTCAGGTTGGCAAAAACATTTGTGACTGCATAGCTTTATTAATTTTTAATTCAATCGGTAGGTTATTTGCTCATACGTTTTCTTTTTATATTACAATTTTTAATGTTCTTAGTAGTTGATGTTTAATTTTTAAATAATCTCCAGTGTTTGTTTTTGTTGGTATCAAAGGAAATACATCAAATCACATTTATCATTAGTTGATATATGCTTGCCAACGAACATCACTTACGTTACGGATGTTCACTTTATCGCTACATATTCCAATCTGTACGACAGTTTTTAAAAAATTTATAGGCCTAAATTCCGCGTAGTTTCAAGGAAACTATATTTTTATTCAGTTAGTCTTAAAGACTCACTGATAATTTCCTTGTGTCTTAAAGTATATCATACCTTTTATAGACACTTATCTTCGTAGCAATTTTTCTGCTCGTTCTTTACCTTTAGTCTAAATGCTTATAATACAGCTGTATTAAGTCGTGGGGATATACTATGTCCTCACTGTGAAAACGTAAAACAACAGCATGTTCATATACCTTGTACAGCAGCCGCATGCTATGCTTTTATTCGTCATGTGAATTTTCCTATAATTGGTTCACGCTGTGTAATCATTGGTGGTGGTCGTCTTGTTGGAGCACCCACAGCGGACTTGTTGTCACGGTCGTGCGGTGCAACAGTTATACAATGTCATATACAGTCAAATAATATTAACGAAGAAATTAAGCGAGGTGATGTTGTCATCTCAGCAGTTGGACATCCAAGATTAATAAAGGGTGAATGGATTAGACCAGGAGCATTGGTAATTGATTGCGGCTATTCTGTTCTGAATGGTAAGTGGAATTAAATCTGTTGTTTTAAGCCTTAATATGTCTTTTTGTAAACAAGTTTTCACGTAACTGAATACTATAAAAATAATTACCTATAATTTCAATACCCTTACTTTCACGCTTGTTAATTTACGTTCACTGAACTGCTAATGAAATATGGCAATTTGAACTGACGGTTTTTCGTTCTAACTTATACAACTCGAATATGTGATGGACATGGTGGATTGGTGGTGTGCACGAGAAAATGATTCAGGAAGAATATGTTATACATTGGTTATTGATGTACTTGTAATAACTGGAAGGACGTAAACTGTGTTATGTATGGTTTGCTATCAGTAGTATGGGGACGGTTTGTCATTTCCCGGTTGCCTACGTCATGAAAGAATAATTTTCCATGGGTGATCTAAAAAAAAATCTGTCTTAGTAGTTAATTTAGCTACCTGAAAGCGTAACCACGGAGACCAAGAGACAACTACTTGAGGCCAGCCACATACGACCACTTTGTGGTCAGATTTTTGATGTGTTAGTTCCGTACATCAAAAGGCCTTATCACTGGATTCAGAAATTCTCTGGGTAGTGTGAGGTGTGACATTTTAGGGTCTACCTTTTCTAACCTCCTCTCTTTATTGGGGATGGCATTGTGGTGTATGCTACTGTATCATCAATCGAAGGTAAATTGCCTGGTGACAGGTTAAGAAGATCAAAGAAAAGAGAACGAGAACAGAGAATAATTGGTGTGGAAATGAAGGAGCAGTGAAGTCTGAGACGATTGATTAATATTTTGCAAATGAAGTATTTAGTGTATGATTCTCAGATTTTACCAAGAGATTTTGTGCTGAAATACATTTGGTTGTCCCCACTTGTGTTCTCATTCAATACAGTATCTCTGGAGATTCTGTTTGTTTGAGGGAAACACCTTACAGCAACCACATCCGTATAAGGTTAGAAGAATAGCTTCTTCCTCTTAACCTAAGTTACTACTTTTAGTCTTGCCGTTCCCCGATCTACCTGCTTGGTATGGTAAGTCATAAAGGGTTGTTTCGTGCAATATATGTCGAATAGATCATTACGATATGTAAACCCCTACCACGGTGTCAAGATAGCAACTATGGTTTGGTTCAGACTAATTATTATCAAATTTAATTCGTCAATTATTAGTGTAACTCCTGTTATGACCTTGAATGTCTGGTCTTTCTATCACACGACTTATCTACTAATCCGAATACGACTTATACGAATCTTCACACTAGGCCAACCAATGACGTCCAACCGGTGTGGGCAGTTTAGCGTCCTTATTAGTCCTATGTCCTACGAGCCCTTCCACTTGAGTACAGAACACAATACCAGCTTCCGAATCAGAGCAGATCGTTTATTTCAGGCATACTTAGTTTATATATCAATCACACAGACCGCAACGTACCATAAAATAGGAAATAATATTTGTACACAAATAAGCCCAAGAAGTGGCTGTGAATGTAGGAGTCAGTAGTTAATAAACTGAACATAACTTAAGAACCGTAAATCGTACAATAATAAATTATAGGTCAAAACAAAGCTTATCATAAAAGGAATATAAATATCCATAGTGTAATTGTTGAGTAGTTATACAATAAGAATATTTATAGAATAATAGTCCATAAATAGTCCTTGGAAGTTGCCTGCAATTTAATCTTTACCGGATATAACAACTCCTTTACTGAATGCAGGAATTTATGTACTAAGCTTTGAGCAAACTGTTTGTATGAGGGCTGGTAATATTACCCAGCAACCCAAACCAGAGTAATGGAGGGCGGAGTTTGAACCTGTAACCTATTGGATAGAAGCAGAAAACTTGTACTACTAAACTGTATTATCAGAATTTGTTTGTTTACAGGTTCACTAATTCTACTGAATGATCTGAAACCGAACATTTTAAGCAACGTTATATAAATATCCATATTTATCATTACAATTATTGTTATTTCCATTTAAACAGATCCTCAAAATCCAAACAAATCACGATGTGTCGGTGATGTAGAATTTGAAACAGCTATAGAAAACGCGAAATGGATTACACCAGTTCCAGGTGGTGTTGGTCCAGTTTCAATCGCTATGTTATTTCGTAATACTGTGAATAGTGCTAAATGGTCTGTAGGATTAAATAATTCCATATGTTCTTGTCCAAATTATTGTGAAAACGATATCCTATTTAAAGAGCATGTTGATAGAAAAGTGTCTACATAAAAATGATGATAGCTGTCTTAGTTAATCTAATCAATGGATATTGTTTTTTAGTTAAATATATTCTGTATTTATTCAGTTATTTTGAAAAGATTCTAAACTATACATTTATTGTACATTTTTTCTACTACCTTATATTCATTAGCGTTTTGCTAATCGTAATATAGGCGAAAGCGATATTAAACTCTATGTCACTTATTTGTATACTCAATTATTATTACTTTTAAGTGAGTATTTTAACTTCGTGCAATTAGCATCTTGTGATGTATAATGTAAAATAACCCAACTACATAATAAAACATACAGTTCTTGTTGTTCATATGAAATAAAAACATATTTTATGTATATCGGTTCAGTTTTCATTAGTTCTGTTAATATGTATCATATTTTCAGGTGTTGGCTGTGTGACTCTGACGTTCGAATTTGTGCAAAACTTAGTAGCCACAAGGAAATTAAAGAATAATTACAATTGGCCGATCAATCAATAGTGATCAATATCTTTTTTGTATAAGCGTTTAGTGTTGATCGAATTCTGTCGACCAGGTTACCGTGTGAACACTAGTGTGACTTGACTATGGTGAGATGTTATGTGGTCGGATGTCGTGACCGAAATAGGTCAGTGGTAACATCTCAGAATGTAAATCTAGGGGATGCAGGTTAAAATCCCACAGGTAGCAGCAGTTCCCTAAAGATTGCAGGTACTTCGTAATAACGTGTGTCAAATGGCACGAAACCTGGTTCCAGAGTTTCCTGTTGACTACCTTCAACCACATAGCATCTCAGAATAATATCAGGAATAATGACTCTTGAAAAGTAACCATTCATTCATTAGCGAACGAATATGATGTTTTTTATTCATTGTGAGGGTCTTTATTACTCTTAAATATTAAAGACTAAACCCAACTGGGCAATTTCAAGGGTTTTTGTGAATGTGCAGTTTTAAATTCCGACCTGAATTTATAAACATTTGTAACCAATGAAAAATTTCGTATCCCTCGGATAAGTTGGTGGCCATCACATTTTTATGGCTAATCAAGCTATGGTGTTTCAGAACCTGTTTGCTCGAGTTGGCTATTAATTCAGTTGACTAGAATGGTTCAACACAAGAATGTAGACTGATAGACGGACATAAGTGTCTGAGATTAGTATCTTACTATTTATGCACACAAATTAATTTAAGGACGTAATCTTCATGCAGTATGTTCCTGGATATTTCACCAGATGTTTTGTTAAATATTTTATTGGTATTATCACCAATAAATCTCACTGTCACTTATAAAGCGTGTTCATGATCCGTGGTGGGTCGTTCCCTAATTTAAAACAGCTACCGATGGAGAATAACCGGTCGTGTGATTTAGTTAAACTACGAAATAAAGTAAAGGTTCCCATTCTGTTTTGTCACATGTTATTAAGCTGTCGTAAGTTACGTAAATGTTGCACTCCTAGTACGACAACCGTTGTTGAACGTTTAGAGAAAATCTTACTATCTAATTGCGTTTAGAATTTTCACCATTCTTCTTGTGTGATGTATGGTATGAATCCTAGTAGTTCAACAATGTATAGGTCTGTTTTCCAGTCGCTACATCCATTCTATTTAATGGATGGGCCGTGAGCAATAGAAGTATTAAGACTCGTCAATTTCTGTGACTGTTGAGTCACAATATTAGTTTGGTAAAATAATTGAAAAGTGTGTCACACTATATCGTCAAGCACGTATTAAATGCTACTCACAAAAATTTATCCTTTAAATAAAGCAGAGATCACAGGAAATAATCAAACTTGATGTGCATCACAAAGCAATGAAAAGTAGTCGTCAAAGCGTGAACTTTTTATTTTAACTAATAATCCTCGGTTTAACATCTACACCGGTAATTCCTCAATCTACATTTTTCGGATTGTTTTAAGACATTATTTGAAAAATAATGATTTAGGTCATTCAAGTTTACATTAAAAATATTTATATAGGTCACGTAGCATACTTACAGAATTGTTTCTTTTTCCCATCTAACGTTTGGAAGCATTTTTCGAAAATTGATGTCCCTTTTACTCAGTAACGGTATGTTTAGCCAATACTTTAGTCGAAACTTAATTCAAATGACAATTTTTGTGTAACTGTGGTACATACATTTTAAGTGGCTCAAGTAATAGTTTGCACTTGTTGAAAGGATACAGTCAACGTGACGGAAGTGTCGTCCATATATTTGTTAAATTAATTAATAACCGAACCGAGTTGGGTGTTTCCAATGTCTCCCATCCCTCCTTAGACTTTACGTTAGAAGACGATAGTTGCACCAGTCAGCAACAACGTGGGACCAGGCACATATATTCATCGTTCCAAATTACCATAACTCATTAGCACAAGATGAACACCGACTTCATAGAAGTAGTTAATACAATGGTGGTAATATACAAAAGAAAGATTGCATGTAAGAATATGTAATTTTAATCTCACGATTTAAGGGAACACAAAGAGTGCACACACCACCATTGTGATCAATTCTGAGCCATGTCACCAGTAAGTAAACACTAAAATCTATAACAGACTGGCGCTGGCCGTATTCACAAGCCCCATTGAAACATTGCTGAAGTTGACTGAGGCTTCTTAGATCTTTGGGCTCATAAGAAGTGTTTATTTTAGATACTTTAATTCTTGAGACACCTCTATAGTTGGAAATCCCACATATGTTATATAAGGATGCAAGCCAGGTGGTCTTAGAAAATGCTCCCGGAACCGATTAATATTTGTTGCTGCGCGCTTCATAAAGCATTCCAATTAGTTTACAATACCGAGAACAGCTATGTGTTTTCCAAGTCTGGTCTGCGTTAAACATTCATTCCCTGATTTTGCTGTAATTGTATAGGAATGACCAACATATATTCTTCACTGATTGAAATCATTAGTCAATTGAAGCTAGACCACCATGGGAAACCTGGAAGTACTGGACGGCCGTTCCATCCTAGTACGGGACTCCTCAGCAGTGTGCATCTACGACCCCGCTAGACTCGAACCCAGCACCTATCAGTCTCGCGCCAGGCGCTTAACCAATCAGACCACTGAGCCGGCATCCAACGATATTAATGTCTAACTTCAACCAAACCACGAAGTTGCACCATTGTCTCCAGTGAGTTGATATCTCACAACAGACCTGGTTGAACTCCACTGGTAACGGCTTCTCACTAGAACTCCAGAAGTATCTCTTGAAGTCAGTCACTAGTGAGCAGACTATGGTGGTCTACCTTCAATTGACTCATCATTTCAATCAGTGAAATTTCTAAAATCACAAAACCCCTTCTGATATATATTTTTGTCACCGATAGTATTAGCGTTACATAGTCAGGTAACTGTTCAGCTAAATGAAGATTTCCTTTCTGTAATGAATAACCACATATAGTAATTACAAAATTAAAATACGTATTGCTTAGTATTGTGCGCTATTTAAATTACAGGTTGATATCATTCATGAAACCTAGTGAAGCGATATAAATTTAGTGGAAGGTATTTGAATTTCATCGATTGACGGAAGTGTAAAACTTTCAAGATTATTACTATTATTAACATTACAAACTTCAACATAGAACAGATTCTCACTACAAATTGATGGTTGGATAACCATTAAAAACCAAGGCGTGCAAAATAACGGATCTCTCGTAGTTCTGGAACCCTGAACACTACACACTGTAAACATCATACATGGTTGGTTGAGAATTTTCAAGTCATGATAACTCACGGAGTCTGTCTAATTTCTATCAATGCGCAGTATTGCATGACGATTTGGTGTCATCGAAGATAGTTATATCGCCTACCGATTTAGATAAACTTCTGATCACAGGTTTTCACTCCAACTTCAAGGATCAATCTCTAAGCTAATTACAAATGAACGATTCCTCCAAAATCCCCTCATAATAATTCACTGTATCTCGTACATTAAAATGAGTCTGAAATAAGTAACTCATAGAATGACACAAATATTGAAAGCCGATTAAAATGATAGTACATCGTTGTTTTAAAAATGTATATCTATAAGTCAAAAGATTATATAATTCTTGAACGAAGAAAACTCTGTAATAGTATTACCATGAACATTCTCGAAATGCGCAAATATCTACGCCAACAAAATTGAATATGTGACCAAGATAGAGTTCTTTCCCTTTTTATCTTTTATGTGTTCTGTTTTGAAGAAAAAACATCGCTAACATTTAAAGTAGTTTGAACTTTAACAAATAAACTGACCAAATTATCTAGATACTTTCATACTGCTCTGTAACTATAACATACATAAGACAATTAATGTAATGATAGAATGTGGAAAAAAATACGAGTAGACTACACAAACGAAAGAAAGAAAGAAGTTTCCTAGAACAATAATATTAATGATAACAATCACAATAATAATGAAAATGATAGTAAAATATAATCACATGAGTCATTGAATATCTGCAATAATCATATTTCGATTGAGTTCGAGGGCAATTGTTTAATGAATAGATGAGTAAGTGAAGAAACAAATGATATTAGGCGTATAGAATAAACTGATAATTATATGTCTTATGTTGAGGTTGGAAGTGGATTTCCTTCAATCTGTTATTGAATAGTTTCTGATAAGGTCGCCCTTTTCAAAGCTGCTTCAACAGCTTTCCGTCGAGCGATAATTGACTGAAAGAAGGAAAAAAATGAATATTATTCGTCACTGCCCTAATGTTCGTTTTGGTTTGTCATTAAACAATGTGATTTGTTGACTATTCATATATTTGAGTATCATTTTGTTATATACACTTTCGCACAATTGAATCATTTAATTAATTTGACTTTGATGGAGTTTTGTTCTCTGAGTTGGATGGTTTGGTCGTCGAGCTTTCATCGCTCTTCTGAACGACATCATCGGCACAAACTTCAGATAGAAATTCGAACGCTTCACTTCTATCTAAAGTTTGTGCTGATGATGTCGTTCAGAAGAGCGATGAAAGCTCCACAACGAAACCATCCAGTTCAGAGAACAAAACTCCACTAAAATCACCCACCTGAGCTACAAATCTTCTCCACCATCTCAAAATTAATATGACTGCTGTACTGGTGATATTCAAATCAAGATCATTTTAAGTCAATAATATAAACTCACCTTATGTGTTTTATAGACTGTTGGAAACAGAACTTTAAATTCATTTCAAATCGATAAACAGAATTATTAACTCAGGATAGTAATGCTGAAAATGTAACCCTTTTATATTGCCAAGACTTAGTCTCGAATACTCTGTCGTTCATTCTGTGCGACTCAATCAATATAGTCTTAGAAAAGAGGTGAGTAACTGAAATTTATTTTCAGTTATTATTTAGTGTTAATATCATTT